ACACAGACTTTCATCTATCCTAAGTTTTGAAGTGCAAATTTTTGCTATATATTTGTTTAAGTAAGACTAACTTTTCCAATAATAGTTTGAAACAGTTTTATCTGGAGTGATTTATCTGAGAAACAATACATTTATTATATAAATCTTGATCCATCTTTCAAGCATTACCATATTAGTTTCAAATTAATTTTAAACATGCATTTCTTACAACTAATTTTTATCTACTATTTTCAAATTCAAATTTTGCACAAAGTTCCAGCAAGCCTAATCTTTTATAATATTAGTCTCCACTTGATTGCGTTTGGGTCCCAGACAAATTTTGAATTACAGAGATAATGCTACGGATTGTCCCAGAAAATTCTGCTACTAGTTTCTAGAAAATTCTAGAGGTGACAATAACCAATACAGATTTTACATTTCCTAACACTCAATAAGCCTTTTCTTTTAAGTCACAATTTCCAATAACAAGTCTAATTGTTATAAATAACAAAGGGAATCATGAATTTTTGTTTGCACTTATCATATTAGAATTTGCTGTTCTGGTTAAAGAAATCTATGTGAATTTTACACTCTTTGTTTCATTTTAGGTTCATTTATTTTTAATCAACCTATGTTTTTAAATTTTTCAAAATTATATTAGCGCACACCAGGGGTCTGTCCAGGCCGAATTTACTACCGTTTAGCGGTACCTTCACAAATTCAACTTTAGGAAAAACGGTAGTTTCACAAAATACTTTTTCTTAAAATTTTATTTTTGTATTCCTTAAGAAATGATAAATCCATATTTTTGTGTTGATTTTTTAATATAATTTTTAATTTATCCACAAATTATGTCTAAATTTTCACAAAATAGGCACCTCTCAGAAAAACCTAGACAGACCCCTGCACACATTAAAAGTTACCAGTAAGGGAAAAAATAATGTATTTCTAGTTTAGTTCAAAACTAAATTATTGCACTGCAACTAAATTAGTTAATTCTTTTACATTGCACTAAAATTCGAATGTTTTGCTCTATAAACTAATAACTCTACACTTGGAGCAATTTCAGCTTTTTATTTGTATGCAAATTGTTCCCTCCATGACAGAACTAAAAACAATCATTAAAATTGCAAATTTGCCAAGTGAACAAATTTTTGAACAAAAGTTCTATAATTTTGTACACTATTAAAAAATAAAACTGTTCTACACTGATATTGCCATAAAAAATACTGATGTTTCACAATAAATTGCAGACAAAGCATATAAGCACATAGCATGTTGCAATATCTTTATAAACGACATATCTAATTCATAAAAATCTTTTAAATCATATTTCAAGATAAGCTTCGTAATTGCCTTATAAACGGATATTTCTCTGTACAAGATTTTAATCTAATTATAAGAAACAAGTAGAAATTTTGCACTGCATAACTACAATGTGTGGCTTTATCTGCAAACAAGTAACAAATCCTCAGTTCAAAAAACTCAATAGAAAAACACTGAAGCAAAAATTGTTAGTAACTTTCTATAAATTGGTTTATGAATCATTTCTTCAGTCTTTTTTACATGGTTTTTCAAACTGTGATATTTTTCATGCAATAAATTTGAGTTTTTTATTTGATTCCCTTAATTTGCTACAACATCCCCATATATCAGTTACAATACAATCTTTCAGTTGCATACAATTGTTTGTTTGGCAGATCCACATCATTCTAAAATCTTGATATTTTAAACAGGATTGTATTATAGCCACAAATTTTGAAACCCGCATTTCAGTAATAAATTTCTGATAAGAGTGAATTAGAACGATTTGATTTAAATTCCATTCGTTTTATAGATCACATTACTACAACTGATTTTGATATAGTTTTAAATACAAAATGTAAAACTAATAGATTCATACCATTTTAAACATTTTAAAGCCGATTTTTGGAATACGCAAATTCATTGCACTTATAATTTTCTTTATAAAAAAGATTTAAAGTCTTGAATACTATGTATCTTTCGAGAAGCCCACCCTTCTATATGATATACAATGTCTGTTTTTGAATTTCACCTTCAGTTTCCTGAGTAAAGCCTTTCTTTAAGGTCTAGAATAAACCCAGGACGATAATCTATGATTCACAGCACAGCAGTTGTAAGGGAGAAGAAAGAAGTGATACGGCAAGCATAATTTAAAGGAGGTAAAAAATTAAGTTTTAATCGATAGTATCAGTCTACAAAAAGTTCTTGTTAAGAAGTTAAGGGCAAATAAGTGCAAATCTTAAGAAAGATACTATAGTTATCTTAATAGTTATTTTTGCCAAACCTGCAAAACTGATAAAACAAAATTTTTAATTCCATCAATAAAAATTTACAAATATTGATATTTTGTAAAAAGTTCGTGCAAAAATTTTACTTAATGAAACCTCGTGTAGCATATAAATAGTATAAAATAGCGATAGTTTTAATTTTGGGGTTAGTGATTTTTAGTGCTAGCTTTCATCGTTATTTATTTAAAAAATAACACCCTGCCCTGTACAACTGTGACGGACGAGTAATTGCTATTAGTAGTTGCTGATTTAGAAATTTCTATGAACACATGTTTATACACAACTAACATGATAAATTAACTGCAAAGATAGCAAGAAGAACTAAAAATTCAAGATATAGTTAAAAGAGGGGAGATTTCCATATCGTGATCTGAGGCAGAATAATTGCCGAGTTTTGGAAACTTCTGGGCAGTGACCCGCGAGAAACTAAAAAAAAAACATCACAGAAAGAGACCAACTGGAGAAGTATAACTCGTAGCCACCTCCGGGCAAACATCAACATTTTTTTTAATGCAAATTTAATATCTATTTGGCACCTTGGCGATTGTAGTTGGCGTAACAGATCACAATACGGAAATCTCCCTGATACGAAAATTATTAATAATATTATAATCACCTTTAGCAAATAAGAAATTTAACGAAATTTTACTTACTGAAGATTTTTGTTTACTTTGTAAGTTATTATCTGCTTATTTTTGTGCGCACAAGGTTTCCATAGAATACAGATATGAACACAGACATAGATGGCGTTTAAACACTTCATGCAAAAAATTCACACATGAGAATTTAAAAATATGAATCGGAACTTGATTGGTGATTTTACCAATCAAAATCTTATTCGCATACCAGAATTTTTGAATTAGTTGCATATGACATAGGGTCGGATAGAAACATGATTATTTCATTCTATTACCAGTGTTAGTTTCCTTTTAATCATGAATTAAAACTAATCAAATCTACTAAAAATGGGAATTTGTCCAATTTAATTACAGAATTTAAAACTTATGAAATGAATATAGTGAAAGGAAGGTAGGCAGGTACTTTATTTACGTCGCACTAGAGTTGCACAATGGGCAATCGAGAGAAAATCAACTCCAAATCTTTTGATGTAGTGGCCAAATCTTTTGATGTAGTGACGTCCCGCAGTAGACTGATCGTTAAGACACGGTTCCTTGCATATCACTGAAGTCAAGCATCACTGGCTGCTGTCAGCGTGCGGGTGGGTGACCACTTGGATCAGTCTGCGACAGGAACCGAGGGTGTGCGGTATTGGTCCTCGTCAAACTGTTCTGTTGTAAAGTGCTCGACTTCGCGTGCAATTCGTCGGGCTACCAAAGCGGGGTGCCATTCCCTCTGCGGAGGATCAAAATTGTGATGGCATGTCTTCGGATCATCCTCAGGGATGTTTCCCTGACTGTCGCCAATAATAGCCCATTGTGCAGCTCTAGTGCGACGTAAATGAACAAATCAACCAATCAATTTGATGTAGTGACAGGAAATAATTTATAAACACAAAGAACAGTTTTAGACTGTCACATACCATTTACCTATCTTTGTTTCCTTCGGTTTCTTCAATTGGCGATCTAAACTCTCGAATACGCCATCTGGGGAGAGACCGGTTTCATGCCTTTAGCCCTTCTCCCTTCCCTCTCCTCCTTTTTTCAGTTGTATAGGAATGTACTACGATATTTTCCCTTTTCTTAATATTTCCCTTTTTATTTAATAAAAATATTTTTTTTAAATTTCCGTGATACTTTTCTTTAGAACTATATTTAATGTAGTTTTCAGTTTCATACAGTTTTCCAACTTAAAAGATTTTAATATATATGAAAATCAAGAGAGAAACTAACGTACTTTCTTCCTCTATGACTTTCCACACTCTAATGAGGAAAACATGTGAATTCACTTAAGTGTTGCCATAGGTAGAGAGTTGTGCTCCACGCCACCTGCAGCCCATTTTGATCGCCAATATCTTTACCTCTGGTATTATAAAAATTTTCATCTGGGGCTATATAATCTGTTTCAAACATTTCTTTTGTGGGCTCTAGTGATGCATCAGGTACAGATAGGTCTGCAGAATCTTCATAGGGATCGTATAATATTACATATTACACGATTGTGGGTTATACGAATGTTTTGATAGGGTCGGTTGCTTTGATCGCATATTATTTCATTGATCTCCAAAAGAACTTCCAGACCTTCAGCAACTTCGCCAAAGACAGTATGGACTTCATCAAGATACGTGAGATTTTCTCCTAAAGTTAAACAGAACTGCGATCCATTCTTATTACCTCCATTGTTCACCATTGACAGTGTACCTAGTTTTTAATGCTTCATTGTATGCTACAGCTCTGCATCAAAGTATCTGGCTTGGGCACCATAAAGAGTAGAAAAAAATTCATTCTTCTCCACTTCCAGTTGCAGTGGGATCTCCAGTTTCAGCGATAAAATTTCTTTCAACTTATGAAACAGACAAAAATTATAATATTTCA